AGCAGTGCCTCATAACCAGAATATGGCTTCAGAAATCAGCAAGTCATCCTCCAGGCGAGGGCATCACATGGCTCTTGAAAGAATCTGGAATGGAATGAGATGGCATGTCTTTTGTTAATTTGTTTTTTCTCTTCGTCGTGTAAAGAGGGGGAAATGCTTTTAAGATTCAAGTAGAGAAGCTTCATCTTCTGACATGTCCCTTATTAGTTCTTTTGTCAGCAGTGAAGACGTGTGCAAAAGACAGATTTTTAAAAGAAGATGGACCCCACATTGCCTCCATGCGTATTTTCACTGGTCCAGAAGCTAGGCATCCGACATGCCCCATTTTCACTACTGCATTCCTAAGTGTGAGGGAAATGGTTTAGACTTTTTAAATCTTTCCAGAAACCAGGACTGTGATCGCAGTTTCCTTTTTGGTTTCTTTATTGGGCCACAGTAGAGGGCAACGTACACTCAGTGCTCAGAAACCAGCGTAGTGACTGAGACCGGCTGGCTAAGTCTGATGGCCTGTTGTTGTTGCTTATAATTATGTGTAGTTTACTGCATTTGTAGAATTGTTTCCTTGCCTTAATCAACTCACTTATTTTTATCTGGTTGAACCCTATGTATTTTTATAAGCCATCTCAACTTTGTTGGAGCAAGAAGAGATATAAATAAATTAGTGTACTACTTGGTACTTCAGAGGATACTTATACATGTCATTTGATTCTGACAGCAGTCTCATGACGGGAGAATCATCCCCCAGTGATAGATGAGGACACACTGAGACTCACACAGGAAAACTGACTTGTCCAACGTCACTGAGAGGGAGTGACAGACGGACAGACGTATCAGACTTTCACTGGCTGCCTCTGTTAAGTGACTAGTGTAGAGCCTATGTGTTCTAAGGTGTTTACAAGTTTTCCTTTAAATTGGCTATGGGAGCGCTGGCTGGCCCAGTCGGTAGAGCATGAGTCTCTCAATCTCGGGGTTGTAAGTTTGAGCCCCACACCGAGTGTAGAGATTACTTAAAAATAAAATCTTAAACAAAAAATAAAATAAAATGGCTGTGTTTTAAAGAAGAGAAGAAAAATCTATTAGAAAGTATTTTGAAACATTAACACTGATTTCTGTGAATCTGATTAATGCAAAGTGTGACTGTTCAGAAAATGTCAAAACATAAAAAGGATTAAAACAACTCTCTCTTCATCTGGGAAGGGTTAATATGTACTACATCAAATAGAAAACAGTGCCTGGTGGTTTGGTCTTGGCAAAATATGAAAAATATAAATTGATTGAACTTACTTTAATGGGTATTTACCTGCAATTTGTCTCAAATCCAGGTGTAATCTAGATTCATTATCTTGCCCCTTCTGTCTGGGAGCTGTGAGTGCTGAGCACGGGGCTGGCAGGCAGGGAGAAAGGAATTAGGAAGAGAAACTGTGGAGCCAGGAAATCCAATCCTGTGTGTCTATAGGACCCACTTAGTTGCTGACTCAAGAAGGAACAAAGAGACAGAGATGTAAGCAGAGGGGGAAGAATCTCAAAGTCTGGCTCAGCTCGGTACCCCACGGAGCTGCGGAGCAAAGCACTCCTGCTGCTATCGCTTTCTTCTGACCCAGGGCTTCCTAGGGGCCTAAGGGTGCCTTTTGGCAGGAGCTCCCCTAATCTGCCAGAGTACTTTGGCAGCCCGCTGTTTCCCACCTTGCAGCACCAGAGAGGAGAGACCCATTAATCCAGTGGGACCGCTGCAAATCACCTAGGCCTCGGGGAGAAACTGGGGGTTGTCATGTCTTTCTCAAATCCCTTTGCCTACACAGAAAGCATCATTTTAGACAAGGCATTAATGGAAAAAATAGGCAGACAGCCAGAGATGCATCTCCTGCATTAGCCACACGGTCTCTTCCTCCCAGAATCTGGGAAAAGAAAATCAGGTGGGAAAAATTTCCACTCAAGATGTAAGTTTTGGGCCCTCGCTCAGAACTCCAGGTATAAAATGAGAAAGGTGAAGACCTTGATTTGGTTTCCAAGGTTGAAAATGGTATGGTATTTTGTTTTAATAGTCTGATTTTTATTTAAACCATTACTCAGTGAAACCTCAAGGTCTAAAAGTCGGTATGTCCCCCCAGCGTTGCAGCTTTAATCGAAAGGAGGTCACATGCTATGCAGAGTATCTTACAGCATATTTTTTCAGAAGACAGATCTGGGGTACAGCAGCATCTGACCATTTACATGTCAAGTGTGTAAATGCTTTGGAAGCCTCAAAGGAAAAGTCCCTGACACACCTGGCAAGCCTGGAACCTGATCTCTCCTTCTTCCTCGCTGCTCACATTGCACTGACATGGTGCACAGGGGGAGGCTCAGAAAGGAAGAGAACAAAACCCACGGCTTGAGAATTTAGAGTGCAGAGTAAGCTCATTCAAGTAACGATCAACAGAGCCCGCAAAATCACTCACATAGTTCCAAGAGCCATCCTTGGGCTTTGTCAAAGGACATAAGTATGCAAACTAGCGTTTACCATGTAGCATTTGGTTAGAAGCATTTAACCATATCAACCAAAATTTTTGTGCTCAGAAGTTACACACGAATGATATTTGACTTTTCTTCAAACCCATTCAACCTGAAAGATTTCCAAACATGTCACACGTCACATTTAGCTACTTTTGCTATGAAGGGCTTTCAGCCAACTGGCTCACGTTCATTGCCTAGAGAAGCAGAGGAAGAGAAATTTGTAGCAAATAGGTAAGCTCCTGAAATAAATTGTCTTATGCTGGTTCTGAACAGCTACACTAGCTTCCTCATTTAGATTATCCAAACAGTATGACCCTTCACCCGAACGCATCTTAAAGATGTATGTATCAGCTCCCCTGTTAAGCAAATCACCATCTCTACATGTCAGAATCAATTCATTATTTAACACCTAGCCCATCTCCATGAAGCTTTCTCCTCCCCTTCCCCCACCCGATTTCGGCTTTGTCTCTCCTTTCTTGCAGACATCACTTGGAGGGCTCACTCTGATGGTTACCACTGTGCTTGTCTTACTCATGCTCCTGGAATTAGAAGTAATGGGGAAGGTGCGCTGTTCACCTTGCTTTGAGTAGATTCTAAATATTTGTTGAGTCCAATTGATTTCCTAAATAGCCTAATCACCATCTGACATAATCTTTATGAGGTCCCAACCAAAAGTATACACACACACGTTTTTTTATGGTGAATTTTCTTTACATTTCAGATAACCTTCAGATCGTGCATGTATCCTAGTTATTAGTAATACCTACAGGATCTTAAAGGAACATTAAAGTTCAGACATATAATTAAATGTCTCTTTCCCTCCAATTTCCTCACATGAACACTGATAGAGTTAACACTGCAAAGACATTCATAACCTCAGACTTTAGAGTTATGCATGTCTTTTAGATTCTTGAGCCTTTCATGCTTTCATTTCTGCCTGAAATACTTTCGGGGTGGGGGGGGAGGGGAACCAGGCTATGAAGAAATGAAAGAAAAATAAATAAAACAAAGAAACAAGTATGTCTTTATTTGACTTTTTAAAAATCATTCAAGAAATAGACATTTAGTTATTTGATATATGACAGGTTGGGTGCTATGGATACAAATGAGTGTTACTATGCGGATATTACTATATGGATATGACAGCGTTCTCTTGACCTTTCTGACATCTTTGTTGGTCATAGGTCCATAATAGTGTCTTCCATCCTAGGTATATTTGCATTAAAAACTAAGTACCTGCGAACTGAAGTCAAAGAATATTGTCATAAATTTTTTTAATGTTTTAAAATATTTTGATCCTCTGCACACAGCTTGTGTTTACACGGCACTAAAGAAGCCTTTTATCAGGAAAGGAACTCTCCAGAACATATGCTGATGGATCATAGTATTTTGACCAAAAAAAAAAAAAAAAAAGTGTTTCTACCTTTTTCATCTTTTTTTTTTTTTTTTTTCATATTGTAGGGAGTTTTCCAAATGAAGGGTTTCAGATAGGTTGTCTCCAGGTCAGTTCACTCCTGCAAGGCTTTGGCTAGTCATCAGGGGACACCCCCATCCTACCTCACTTATCTTTAGCGTCCCGCCCCGACTCTGTGCCTCACGCAACAAACATGTTCGTTTGAGTTTGGATTTTTGTGAAAATCGTATAGGCTGGGGGCACTGTCGTTAAAAGGAATTTGATAGAGATCCTTTTGAGAACCAAAAAAGTTCTTTTGAAATATGAATATTTCTCCCTCATTACAGTAACTGTTGTGCACTTATGGTCAGTTCGTGCATCTGCTTGAATCAGCCTCCTTGAATCTGCAGAAAAACAGTTAAGATGGGGGAGATGTTCAGAACTACACTATACTTTGGAAAACACGACCAACGTTATGCATAGAAACAAACTTACCAAGACCTGAAACAGATGTCATAGCTGACTTAGCGGGGGATATAAAAAATATTGATCCTATGACTGGTATCTTTTTTTTTCATTATGTCAGTATTTCTACAAAAAACGTAAGTTCCTAAAGAAAGTATAGCCTTGAAATAGAATCATCAGGTCAACTTAATAAAAGGGAAACAAGCATTTGGAGGAGTCCATAATAATTGCTGAAAAGCTACATTCAATTTTAAAATAGCATTTTGGACCCCTGGCAAAAACAAAGCAAAGCCAACAAACAGCCCCGCCATTCTTACAATAGTGTTCTTTCTCAAGTTTGCCTTTATTTGTGCATTTACATATTTTCATTTTGACCTAAATAAGAGAAATCCTAACATGTTTAGGTTTGGACTCTGGAAACATTGCACTAAGATCCCTGGTCCAGTGTCTGCGATGGCTAGAATTTGTAAAACCTAGTAGGAAGAAGATGTGATTATCTCGGGTCTCGGTCTGAAGAACTGTGTTAGCAGGAATTTCATCCGCAAGACTAAATGCTGATCAACAGAGCATAATATTGTATTCTGAAGTGTGCTAGCTAAAGCAAAATTATTTTTTTTTCTTCTTTCTTTCCTTCCGAAATCTTCTGCCACAGCGACTGCATTTGCCTCCAGACTTGTCAGACACAGTGAGCCGCTCAAGCAAACAGGATCTGGCAGAATCCTCCAAGCTGCTGGGCCCAGGCTGTGGCATGATGGCCGGAGGCAAGCAGCACCTGGACTTCTAGCGGTTCCTCCTTAGTCGTTGCATGCAGAATTATATGGCACCCTAATTATGATTGCTAATAGCTTCTGTAAATATTTTTCTTAACGATTTGACCCTCCAATCCTTGAAAAACAGTTAGGATTGCAAAATGAGGCCACCGCTCTTCATTTTCCTTGCCCAACTTTTTATGCAGAAAGAGTACAGCAAAACTATTTTCATTTTAAAATTTTGTTTTATGCTCTATTTAGAGAAAGCAGATAATTTTATTTTTAAGTAAAATGTCAGAAACTCCAAGTGCCTCACAGTGGTCATTAGTATACATATATTAAGGCACTTAGTCCATGTTAAGTGCATATTACAGCAGGTAGCGTATAAAACAGTATGAAATTCATAATTGCATATGAAAAACATTTTCTCTTTATTTCTGAAAAAGTCACTTGCCACCAAAAAATGCTAAGGTGTTTTTTAAAAATGAAAAACTCATTTGCTAATGTACGTGAAGACTGTAATAAAAGGAATTTGCATTTATGCATCCTGTTATCAAATTGATGAACACAAAATAACATTTTGGGATTAAGGTTCCATTAAAGATCAGTAGTCTACCATACTAGTTAATAAATCTAAAGAACTTGAGTGACAGAAAGCATAGAAAAAGAAGCTGATGGTCTTCTGTTTTGTAATCCTAAACAATTGAAGTCAGCACTATGAAATTACGTCAGCAGACATAATTCAGGATTGAAATTCAAACTGACAGCTACATTAACACTAGGGGAAAGCATGTATTGAAGCTTGGTGAGAGATTTTTACAGAACACAGGTCTGAGACAAAGTAGCAAACTGAAACTAACTCCGATTTCCATTGCATCAGGTAAGCCCTTTGTGAATCAAGAACCTTGGCTGGGTATGCACATTTATAACCATATAGACATGTATTTGGGGGGTAGATAGCACATCGACCCAGTTTTCATATAAAACACTAGGTTTTTGAATCACAGTTCCATATTCTCAAAGCTTTTGACAAATAGACAAAAAGTGAAGGTTAGGCAGTAACTTGCATTTAAGTAAAGAATCTCAATTTTTAAAAAGCTGCTTGACGTCCATTAGGAGAAACTGAATTTCTAAAATTCTTCAGTGATGTTAGAATAAATTTTGAAGCAGTTATAACTAGCATTTTTAAGCAGTTTGCTTGTAATACACCACAAATTATACTTTATTTGTTCTTGACAACATTGTAGAAAACAAAGACTAGGTTTTTAAAACTGTCTACCCAACATGATGAATGTCAGTCAGTTAAAAAAAAAAAACCCACTGTAGCATAAACACACACTGTATACAGGTTTTATTCAGAATTAGAATAATTGAATCAATGACAGTGATTCGCCAGGATGTCAAATCTCTCCATCATATCCTGTCACTACCAGTTTATTTTTTGTGATCGAAATCAAAAAGACAACTATTTTGTCACCCGCTATTTTATTAGTACTAAAAACCAGGTTTCTCCTATTTTTTTAGAATGTCTGGTTTATTTTTTTTTACTTCTTTTAATTCGAGAGACACAAATTCTTCCCCATTTTCTTTTCAAAGTAAAGTTTCAGAATTGATCTGTCAGTTAAAATTAAAGGGCTTTTATATTAAGCAAAGGTGCTTTTAAAATGTAAAGCAACTTAAAAAAATCAATTTAGTCCACAGATAATAAATAATGTGCAGATACTCCACAAAAGCTTTGCTATGTCCTTTGAAAGCATTATGAACAATTTGAATAAATTCAAATGAATATTTTAGTTGGGTTATTATTTTAATAACTCTAACCTTTTTCTTACCGTGTCGTGATTCATTTTATACAAACACACAATGGGACAATTATATAGCATTGGACTCTGAAAAGGAAATGTGAGGTCATCAGATATGTAAATTGCTTGTCAAAAATACTTAATAGGTCATTGATTTACTACCCTGGCTACCATGTCTATAAAATTAACACCCAATTACTAGTTAATATATGCTTTGCAAATAGATAAATACTATAAAAATTGAATGTGCATATTTGAACCGTTATTTTAAATACAAAAGAAACTTTTCAAACTCAGTAAAAGTGCATGTTGAACAATGATCGTAGCTGAGCTTTCCAAAATGCAGATCCAAGTGCTTTGTTGTTCTGATTCTCTAGGCAGGCTTTGCAAAAATAAGCTACAGAGGGATATATATTTTTGTTTTCCTCTGATAAAAACCCACTCTAAAAATGTGTTTTCCTTTCTTCTGGAAACATTATCAATTATCCATTTGCTAATAACTTACTACCCAAAAATACTGGTCTTCAGTAAAGCTACAGTAGGTATACAGACCATTTTGATACATTATGAACTCCATTAACAGATTTTTCTTTTCAATCATCAACTTGTCTCAAAGATATAAATATTTAAGTAACAGTGCCAAACATAGTATTTGAAATGTCCTCATGTCTTTTAAATGTTTCTAAAACTTCATAACCCTCTCTAGTATTCATTTCTTACACTAGATTTGCCTTTCTTTAACATGAGGTAAATATTTTGACTACCGCACCCAGCTCTCAGGTGCTGAGGTTCTAAGACCTGAATTTCTTTCTAATAGCCACCAGGAGTTTTCCACTTTTCTCTTCCTCTTCTTCCATTTATTTTTTTATCTCTACCTCCAGGATCTGCAAATACTTACACTAGCCAAAAAAAAAAAAAAAAAAAAAAACCCACTTCAAAAGGAAGCAACACTCTTCATGCAATCAATTCCCTGTCTTTCAATTTTAAAGACTCAGACACACGCATACACATACAAAAGGGAAGGGGGGAAACCCCTATTCATTTGTTTAGAGCCCATTATGAATGTCATTTCTAAAACATCCTCTTAATGCTTTCCAAAGATAGTCACCATCAACACCATCAAACTTTAGTACTAACCCTAAGCACTTGCACTTTGAACTTTAAAAATGAGCAGTGAAATCATTTCAGGACCAGGCAAAAAATAAAAACAAACAAAAAACGCCACAGAGGAGGTTTTTGCTTGAGAAACAGAAAAGGGAAGGGCCTTGGGAAGCCAAACATTATAGAGAGAAGAAAAGCATTTTTTTTAATCTTGTTAACATTAAGGCCCGGTGCAAAAAGAAATAAGCAGGAGAATATAGACACCATGCCAAGATGGCAAAAATTCACAAAACAAAGCTAAATCTTACTACTGTGTAAGTGAATTTGAGGAAACCTAGTTCTGATGGGGGCGGGGTGGGGGGGAAGGGTAGACAGAAATGACTGTGAGCCACATCAAGAAGCCAGTTGTTTACCAGCTTTGGGGGAGGAATATTCTGGAAACTCATTGTAGTAAAAAGCCGTTTTTTACTCAAAGTAACTTGAATGTTTCCTATTCAAACACTCAGCTCTAATTCTGTTCCCCTGGTCTCCCTAAGTCCGTCAAGTTGAGAGAAAAATCGTAGGCTGTGAGCCTTGTGATTCTACCGAGGCCAGCACAGGTAGGTGGACGGGCACCATCCTGGAAGATGGCATCAGAGCATCCCTGCAGCGTTCCCATGGATAAATTATATAAATATACCTATCAGTAAATAAAAATAAATTATTTCAACGACGAGTACAAGGCCACCTCCGGAGCCCTGCTTCCACATGCTGGCCCCGGGGGAGCGCCTGGAGCGCCATTCGGAAGGACGGCTCATCTCCCTGGGGTGAGGGCAGAAGGCAAGGCAGCCGCTCTGTCCTGCTGGAGCCGGGAGCTTCTGCAGCTGAGCCTCCGCTGCTTGAGACGAAACCAGGCTGTGCCGCGGCGCCCTGGCAGCCCTGACCCTCGGAGGACACGGATACGTGCCCAAGCGCGCGTGCGCTCACACGGACCCTCTGCACACAGCGCTCCACCCCCCCTTCTCCCATCCCCGGCTCCAGCACCCAGAGCGCCGCACCCAGGGCTCCGAAGTCTGTGCTCTCTGCACCACGGAGCCGTGGGCCAGGCCTGGCTGCCTGACCCTGGCCCACGTCGGAGCCAGTTGGAAAGTGTCCCTCCTCGCAGGGAAGAAGTGAGCCAGCCAGCAGCTGCAGCACGCACCACACAGCCCTTCTCTGACAGTGCCCTGGGCACACGTCCCTCGGGGAATCGAGGCTGCAAAATGTCAGGAGGTAGATGTATCTGCACGGGCAAGTGCGCCGACCGAGCGCCCGTGTGCGCACTGCAGAAGCGTGCAAGCGTGCAGCGAAGGCTGACACTGAATCCACCCACATGCACACACACCTAAAAACCGCAATCAACCGAGGAAGGTGTCTCTAAACGTGCAGCAACTCTGCTGCAATACAGTGATTAATACCTGGCATGCCACAGAGATGAATCACAGCTATGTGTCCCCAAGTAAGCCCTTCGCCAGAAAAGAGTGGATGGTGAACTAGAAGGCTCTTTCCTGAAGCCTCCAATTAATTTCTATATTTCTGACCGTTTGCCTTTGGGGATTCAAAACAAAACAAAACAAAAGAGCAGAGTACAATTCAGTGGAAGTGTGTCTTTGTCCCCAGAGCTTTCTGCCTGTGCAAGCATTTCATGGAGTCGGCCAGCAGCCCCAGCCTCCGACTGAACTTGGCGGAAGAGAACTTATCTATATTGACTTATATGTTGCACAGAACAGACAGAAATAAAAGTCTCAGACGGGCCCTTTTTCACCCAACAAAGGCTTATTTTTTCCCCCTCCTTCGCTGGGGCTCAAGCACTCCTGCCCTGCGTGCTGCCACTTTAAACATGATCAGATCTGTGCTTCATTGCAAATAACAACTGACCGACAATAGGCCCTGCTTCATAGATTTGGGAATGTTTGGCTTCAGCTGCCAATGACTGAAGGCCTTTCGCTCCCATCGGCCAGTCACAGTCCGCTTTGTTGTTGTCTGTTGATGTGTCTGTGCTCATTATTCCTTGACATGCAACATCCCCCCTCCACCCTCCAACCATCCACCACCGCACAGAAAGCGAGATTCAAATGGGAACAGCTGTAGTGGTTCAATGGGAAATGATGCCTCTTGTGCAAAGGGGAGGGAGAGAGGAAAGGGAGAGGACCTATTGGAGAAAGGCGACAGCTTTCAGAGAGTCCTGTATAAGAAATCTACTTTTGAATATACTTCAGTGAAATCGCTGTTGAAATAGGCCGACAATGGAAATCTGCCCAGATTGAAAATGCCAGCCCTAATTCCAAAGACAATTCCTAGTTAATAGCTGTTGCATTTTTTAAATCATTTCTAGACTTTGAGCTTTTGAACTAAATGGCTAGCTGGGGAATGTGACCATTTATGTGTACGTTGTGGGTACAGATGGGCACAGATCTACACAGAGCTCTAAGTGGAATTTTTTTCCTAACACATCTCGAATTAATGAAATGATAAGAATTATTTCTTTAAGAATTAGTGTATGTATGAAAGGAACCGTTGGTTTAGAATGATAATCTAACATGGAAACAAAATTTGTAACACCACACTATAAGGTTAAAAAGAAAATAGTATAATAAAGGAAATACAAAGGCTTTGGCATGGTTCTTACAATCAACAATGGTTAATTTTGATATGTAGTTGTGAACAACTTCAAAACACTTAAGTTTAAAACTCTTGCAAGCACTTTTAATTGATTAGGAATGAATTCTAGATGCACAAAATGATTGGACTGTGAACAGTAATACAACTATATCTAAGAACAATTAATTTTTGCTGGCCAAAAAAGAAACGTATGATTGCATGAAAATGTGTATAAAACATCTATAGAGTATTCTTGTCAAATATAAATGAAATTAACTTTATTATAGAAATCATTCTGAGGATTTCTAGGGAAGACAAATACTTACATTTTGACATAAAACAAATTGGATTTTATCGAAGACACACTCTACCTTTTAGCTATCAACTTTTTTCTTCCTTGAATTTATATCTTACCCTTTTTTGCACATAAACTTCATCTGTTAACAACCTTTGGAAAACCAACAGATATTCTTACATAAATCTAGTGCATGTTGTTCCAGGTTTAATTATATGCAAAGGAATGATACAAACTTGGAACATCAGTCCATAAACTATGAACAGATGGGTAGAAGTATTTGATATATCTTGATAAAACTCTTAAATTCGTGGCAAAGCTTGTTGATCATGGTTTCCTTTTTTTTTTTTTAAACAACTTCATGACCAACACAGATCAAACATCCATCCAGTCTACGTTGTTCTTTTTTTCATAACATACAAATGCCCATTTACAAATAATACACCAAAATGAATAAAAGTTTGGATACCAAAATGAAGATTTGTTCCAACTGATATCGTGCCTTCTGTATACAAAGGTCCTTGTTTCAAGTCCATTCCCCAGTGGTACAATACAGGACACAATTGCAGAACTGAAGTGCTTCTAATAGCCATCTTTCTTTCCTTCCTGAACGCCCAACTGTTGTGTCCACATAGTCACTGACTGAATTAACACAATATATCCTTTTTTTTTTTTTTTACTGTAATCTTGGCCAATACTGAGACATATCAGGTTCACTTCCAGGAACTTGAACTGGAACTGACACACCAGGGGAAATGAGTCCTAGAAGTGGATGAAAGAAATAGCCATGTAGAAATTCCCTTCGAGAGACAAGCACGGAGTATGAATTTATAGGTTAAAAAATAATCTCGAATACTCTCTAATGTTCTAACTGTATTTTTAAAAATACACAAACAGAAGTAGCACCTTCAGAAACCAGAGAACATGTTTATACATATCTATTCAATCCCAAGTCCTCCCACACAAAAGAGAAAAAAAAAAAACCTCCATTTGTTCGTATGTTTGGAACTTCAGCAATACAACTATCTCTGGAAAGCCCTCGTGGTACTTCTTCATTTGCAGTGAAAGGCAGGGAGGAGTTGGGAGGGTGAGAAGTCTTCTGACAACACTCACCATGCTGCCCCCTCGCTCGGGCCCTCACCCCCTCACCACTGAGCTCTGGCTAATAACCTCTCTTCAGAAAACTTACATTCTCGGGCCTTGTCTTCATAGACAACTTCTGTGACCAAATTCAGGAAAAACAACTTTGCTTTTTGTCTACATGGTATCAGGTTACTAACTCGCTTGACTGAATTTCCCCCTTCCAATCAGTTTTCCCCAGAGAAGTGAGCAGCGAAGAGTTAAAACACACCGTGACACAAGGCCAGGAGGTTCTTTTGAGGTGCACTTTGAGTGAAGGGCGATCACCTGGCAAGAGAAGCTGTGAAGGCCACCTCCGTGTAGCCTACAGGGAACGGTGGCTCACCTGTGGAAGTGGTGCCCGAGGTGCCCATCGGCTGACTGTTCATGTGTGTCTGCATATGGGGGGGGGTGTACGTGTCGTAACTCCGCCCGTTCACCGAAGGGCTGGTGGGCAGCATGCAGGAGTACGAGGAGGTCTGGCTGGGGACTGGGGGCTGAGAGAAGAAAGGCAAACCAGTGGTTACCGAGCAGCACATCCCACGGCCACATCCCCAGGCTCTCTCCTCCCCGGGAACCGTGCCGACAAGTCGGATCATTAAAGATGCCCTCGCGTAAAGTACTGGAATTCCATAGGATAGCTTGGCAATCAGGCCTCCAACTAGGCCTTCCACTGATCACTGCTAGAGTAAAGTTGCCTAAAAGTACTATGCATTCAGACAACTGTCTAGCTAGATGGTGGGCACTATCCATAAAATTAGTAGGGTTTTTGTCCATTTTTATCTTGGACCTCTGCCGGCATCTTCAGAGAAACTATGGCATGAGGACTTCCATTAAAACACCGCCTCTTCTGCAAATCCAATCTATTTGGGAATCTAGTGACCCCCAAATCCTGTATCTCAAGCTTTGGGCAGAGACCTGTGTGAGGAGTTCTCTAGAAAGTCTGCTTCAGAGACCCTGGGAGCCCTTCATGGTTGGACTCATGGGATTAAAGATTCTTTGAAGAGGCAGATCAGTAATGATCTCAGATTAAAATGATCAGAAGTATCAGTAAATATCTAGCCCCATCCTGAGAATTAGCTGTGACTTCCTTATAGATCTAAAAAACCCAATTTTTTAAAAAAGATTTTATTTATTTATTTGAGAGAGAGAGAGAAACAGCGTAAGAGGGGAGAGGGTGAGAGGGAGAAGCAGGCTCCCACTGAGCCGGGAGCCAGATGCGGGACTCGATCCCAGGATTCCAGGATCATGACCTGAGCCGAAGGCAGTCGCCTAACCAACTGAGCCACCCAGGCACCCCCAGATTGGGTTTTATCCATAAAATTGGGTTTCTACCCTCTAACTGTTTGGTGGTACTGAGGAGGTAAACCTTTCTCCTAAGTGAATAAGAAATACACAGTGCTGAGACAAAATCTCTCATGAGCTCACATGGACCTATTCCAGGGCAGCAAGATTGGGATGAATTAATAGAAACATAATGCCAGGAATAAGGGAAATGATAGTACTACCACTCTGTTCTGCAAACTGCAGAAATGTGTAACATTTCAAGAGTCACCTTCTCAGAAAGGGTGACCCACTAGAGAAGGTTCAGCGGAAGACACCCACCCTTTGTAAAATCATTGAAGATTTTGGTCAACAAGATGAACTGTAGGACAGACAGACCAACACCCGCCCCCCAACTCCAAAATTCAGAGGGTAAATTTTCTCTGAACAGTAGAATTATTAATAACTTTTTAATTTTCTTTATGCTTTATGAATGTATGTATGTTTTGTTTTGTATAAATTGTGTAACTTAAAAGTTCGTGTTTGAAATAAATTGACCCCACACCAGTCTATAGGTGGAAACAACCTTAATAGAATAGTAGCACCTATGTAATTGCTTCTAAATATTTTCTCATATATAAATTTTGTTATTTTGGCAGAAATCTAGATGTTGCTGTAATTTGCAAAACTAAACAAGACATTCCGCGGCCTTATTAAAGTCAGAGGATGACTGCTAACATCAGGTTCAAAGAGGCAAGCAGGCCTTGAGGGCCCTGCCAGAATTTCAGCTTGCATTTGTTTCTAATTCCCAAAATCATTTCCTCTAGGCAACCTGACTTCTGGAAAATTCCACAGCAGTTGTAGTAATACCAACCAATGGGCCGGTAATCCCTTAAGATACATTAATTGCACTATGGCTACTAATATCCAGATGCAATAAAAATCAGCATGTGAATAAATTCCTCTGAAGTTGCCTATCTAGCTGCTCCTATTTTAGTCTGAAGACTGTGAAACATTTATTTTGCTGTTATGTGGAGTTGAAATTCATCAAAAGACATTCAGGGGTGAGTAAACAATCTGTGTAACCCCAGCACTGTTTGCAGCCGGGGCTCAGGCTGGCCAGTCTCACGCCATCCGGCATCTTGCAAGTACTGCACAAACAGGAGTCCTGGCAAAGTCACCACAGAAGGCCCACTAGAAGACCAGTTTTTTTCCCCATCAAGAATCCATCCAGATCCAAAGCTGTAGTCCACCCCACCTGCCTTATGCAACTTCCATCAGAAAGGGCTAGTAGCCTAGTACAGGGCCTTGCACATGTAGGAGCTGATAACCGTTCACAGGAGAACTGAGAGTAGAGGCAGGTTGTTATACCAAGTGAAGACCATCAACGTATCCAGGCAGCTAGCATGCCACAAACTCATTACGTAATTCATGGCAGAGACGTGCTAAATTTTTAGCAAATACCTCTATTCCTTTTTTTATTGTAAGATATAGAAAGAAAACTCACCATTCCTCTATATTAAAGTATATCCTACTATGCAAATAGAAATCTTATTTCTGATCCTTTTTTCCTTCCTCACTGGTTCATCACATATACTCTAAATAATATCCCAAAATGCGTACACAGGTTATGTGATCATTAATATGAACACATTAATATAAACCCAAATTTACATATACTAACCCCTTACTATCGAATAATGTGCCAGGATTATTTCCACTTTCTGGTAGCCAAAACATGCCCCATCCCCACCCAACATTACCAAGCTACCATTCCCTCTGAGCAAAAGGCAGATTAACTTGGTTTTTATGTTTTCTTCAGAGCATGAATCCATCAATCCATCGATCCGACTAAAAGACTGGACTGACTGTTAAAACTTGACCGGTGAAGCCTATCGCTGCGGTGAGCAAGGCTCCCTAGGGCGCGCGCGGCCGGGGAGGTCTGCAGGCCCCGACCCCCTCCTCACTACTTCTCGCAGGCACCCGTTCCACGCGGGCGGTCAGCGGCCTCACTTACTTGCATAGGCAGGTTATTCGCCATGGTGAAGCTGGGCATGGGGGGCAGAGCGCTGTACGTGTTTGTGAGGGCCGTGTCTGTCCGGCCCAGCATGGAGCCAGAGGTGAAGGAGGAAACTGCAGGAGAAGGACACCACAGTCAGGCCGCGAGTCAGAGGCAACAGGTGCGGCGCATTTATGAGGACTATGAATATTCCAATTACCAGGCGTGGTGGGTTGTGGGATCGGTTGGTAGACACTGGTGCTGAAGCTACTGCTGATGGGGATGTGACTGGGTGTGTTGCTGGCCTGTCTTCTCTGGTTCCTCAGCTTTTCTTCTCTTCTCCATTTGGCCCTCCGATTAGAAAACCATACCTGGAAATCAGATGGACCAGGTCAGGCCTGTGCTCAACCTCCCCCCTGGTGCCGCCACTGCTCCCCACCCCCAGGCCCTGTCCCCCAGGGGGCAGCAAATCATTTAGCAGACTGAATATTCCTTAGGAGCGCCTTGGTCTCCAGAAAGGGCAAATGCCAGGCGTCACAAAGCATGAAACCGCATGGCCCCTGGGTACCTGTATTCTCGCTTCAGGTAGATCGATTTTGGCTGCTAGTCTTTCTCGGGCGAACACATCCGGATAATGGGTTCTCTCAAACTCTGAAAGAGGAAGTTGAGTTTTCCATGTTGTGCCAGAACTACACAAAATGTGTCAACCAAGCCCCGGCTCAAGCTGGTTCCTACCTCCCCATTTCTGTCACCTCCAACCACTTCCCTTAAAAATGCTGCCACCACGGGGCTTGACTGTACTTGAAAGAGCTATCCCACCAGAACCAAGTTAAATTTTCTTTGGAATGACATTCATTCGAGGACCCTTCTGTGGCCTGAATTAGCCAAATCATCATTTTCTTCTTTATGAGAAGTCAGACTCTTAGCCTTTGAATTATGGGTACAAGAAAAGAAGAAAGAAAACACACACACACAGAAAAGATGCCCAGGGGAAGAAAAAAAAAAAAAGGGGGGCAGAAAGAAAAAAGAAACCTTTTCAGTCCTCTATGCAAAGGGCCCTGGCTAAATTTAGCTCTTTGTCCTGAAGATGGGGCATTCAGTTTGATTTACTGCTTCTCTACTTTGAAAAACTCCATCACCTTTCTCCAGGGCCTCAATTTGCTCTTGGGTAAAGGATGTTCTATTTCTCTGCAGCTTCCGCTTCAGCTGAAGTCGCATTTGGGCCTCATCTGAATCTTCTCCGTTGGAACTGATGGAGTTGGTATTCTCTCCCCCTCCTTCCTGTTGCTGGCAGCCATCTGGAACAAAAAGAATAGGACAGTAAGAGAAATCTGGAATAACTTGGAGTCTCCAAAATCTGGAATAACTTATAGCCGGGGTAGAGCCATAAACTCCAAGAACATTCTGACGGTCTCACCAGGACATTCCCTAGGTCACTAAGTGTCTCCTAATAAAAGACATGAGCAACATACGTTACCTTTCTTTCTCTTTTTTTTAAATCAAGTTTTTATCTTTTTATCTGTTTTTGTCAGGAAGAGACTGTACAATATAGACATTACGGAGTAACAGGTTTTTGAAGAACAAACGAGCACTGAAGTTTCCAATTCAAATGGTCTCATAACTAACCTTGAGTCCCAAATGCCCCGCTCAGTTCCCTTTCCCTACAGAATTTATTTACCTATAGCTCTGTTGGGAAAATAGAAGAGTGATGTTCAAGATTTCAGCTGATCTATAATCAGTAATTCCTATCTAATCAATTAGATGTTGATAGGTTTGTAGAAAATGCTATTAAGAAACCAAACCAAGCTTGTAATCTTTTTAAAAAAATATTTATCTAGTTTTTATTTGAATTCTGCACAGTCAATTTCATTTTAAAGGTTGTGAATTTAGAAATGCTCGCATTGTTCTGCAGTTTTATTCAACTATTGTATGAGTGCGCTTTGCCTTGACACCTATTACGAGCACAGCTGTAATTATATCATCACCAAGAACAGGCTATAATTGCTGAAAATGGAATTTTATATTTAGATAAAAGGACTGTCCATTCTTTGTAATGTGTTGCACCAGAGAAAAGTAAGATTTCTTTTAAATTTTTAACGTGTAATTTTAAAAAAGAAATAGTAGAGAGTTCACTAACTAGCTAAATATGCTATGCTGCAGCTGAGTCCTTGGCATATCATTTAAGTGGTACATTTTTAATTAGGGCATTTCCACCACTTTTAATGTAATTTCTATCATTAAACAGGGGAAAGTTTTATTGCTTTCCCTTGCTGCTTGGAGGGCAAGATGTACACTTGGGCTAGCTACATCTTGCCTTACCTCTTGCTCCTGAGGCCACAGCCTGTCTGAAGGGAGGACTCAGCCCTCACCGGGCCTCCAGGGCCACTGCAAACTGGGTCCTGGGTCTTAGGTCCTGAGGCTCCCAAGGGATACCAAAAGGGGCTGCCCCCCCCAATCCTAGAAATTTGGCCAGTTGGGGGGGGAGGGGCGTCTTGGTGGGAATCGACTTGGCCAGGAATATCATTTATAACCAGGAGACAATAGGCAGCGCCTTCAAAGAGTGCAGGGAATTGTGACAAGATCTAGTGGGATCTTTTCAGGAACTTTGAAATGTTTTAAAACCCCAACTTTCCCCCCCATTTAAACAGGCGGATTCATCGGCACTGGCCACCATATGGGCCCTTGGAGATCTATTGAGATGACCACCAACACTTGAATAGCGAGGGGCTGCTTTTCAGCGCCGCACAATGCCCCGCGAGTAAGGGAAACTATTAAACTCCTGGGGCAGGAGCGTTGGCAAACTTTCGTGGGCAGAATTTCGAGGCCACAATGAGCCGGACAACAAAAGGATTCTCTCGAGGCGTGCAGCGGGCCACATTGTGTTACAAGAAGCCCAGTCAACAGACTTTTCAGTGAAGTGTGTTAACCCCTCTGCTCTGCTATCATTAATCACTGTCCGGAGAGCGGGCGCCTCAATGCTATTTAGGGCGCTTGGCTGGGAGGATGGAGGGTGGATGGGGGGCCAGAGCAGGGGGTGGGGGGAGGCAGGGAAAGTGGATGGGGACCAGGCGGGCTTGTGTGGGAGGGGCGGATGGGGCAGGCAGGGAGGATGGAGACCAGGTCTGGGGTGGAGGAGCCAGACAGGAGGGAGGATGGGGGCGAGGGGGCGGGTTGGAGGGGAGGCAGGAGGGGGCGGAAAAAGATGGAGGAAGAAAGAAGGCTTCAAAGACACAGAGACCAGAAAGGTATAAGAAGGACAGAAAAAAGTGCTGAGGGGGAAAAGAGGCAAGAGGGTCTAAGGAGACGGAGAGAAAGGAGAAAAGGAAGACAAGGGAGAGACAGTCACTAAATAGACCGGCTCTACTCTGGGTCTTCTTGCGCTACTTCAGAGAGGTAGGGGGTCTGGGGAGGGCTGCGTAGCTGAGGGAGACGCTGGACTCACGTGTGTGGGCACAAGTGTCTGTACTAATTTACTGCCCCAAGTTTCCAGGTGACTTTCCAAAGTAAAAAGAAGAGTCCCCCTCGCCCCCCCCCCCGGCCATTTTCAGATTCAGTGAACGGGGAAGACTTTAGAAATAGACCTTTTTGTCCAGTTAACTAGAAACTAGGCCTGTGGGTTATTCCTTTTGGAAAACACAAAAATCTCCGACCAGCCGACGTTTAGGGACTGGGGCGTTGAGGAGAACGCAATCCTATCTCGCAGGAGTGGGGACTGTGCCTGCCAGGTCGCTCATGCCCGCCCCAGTCCTTTTTCTAGCATATGTGATCTCACCAATTAGATAAAGCTGCCCAGGTTTCCCTCAGAAGAGCCCCGCAGATAGCATTCTGTACTCTCGTTTGCTTCTCTGACATTTTCCTAATTTTAAAACTTGGAGATTTGCACGCTCTCCTCCCCCCTCCTCCCCCCCATCTCGCTCTGTCTCGCTGTCTCTACACACAAACGCAGGCGTGGCTCTCACTTTGGAACTGACATTTAAAGGGTAGGGGAAGTCAATGGGGATAGAGAGCCCTTTGGGGGGGCGGGGGGGGGGGCGGAATTAGAGGCCGGTCAGGAGAAACCCGGGGCGACAGGATCCCTCCACGACCTCGCAGAGCGGGCGTGCCCCGCTGGAAGTTTGTTCGCTACTTTCAAAGTAACAACTGTTCACAGCCGGGCGCTGAAGGAGAGGTCACTCTTAGATTGGGCGCCCCCCTTCTTCTCCCCTTTAGTGGATTTACCTTCCACTCTTAAAGCTTTTAACAAAAATAAAACTAAAAGTTGGATCTCAAATTCTCCAAATGATAAAGCTAAGTGGCAGACAATTAAGATATCTTCTTTAAAAGGCGCCCCCTCGGAGCGCGCAAAGAAGGGGCCTTCAATGGGCGCCGTCCACCTTCCAGCCTAATCCGTGAGAAGGCGAGTGAAAGCGCCTCCCATTATCCCAGCCCCAGGACCATCTGACGCTGGGGATAGGATTTGTTTCCTGGAAGAAGGAGAGGAGAAAAAAAAAAAAAAAAAAAAGACGCTGGGAAATAAAATCATTCCTTAGTTTCTTAGTGTCTTAATCAGTGAGGCGGAAAACAAGCAAGAAAAGATAGCAACCCGGTTGCGGCACCTCTTCAGCTCTGGAGCGCGGATCAAAACATTGTAGCATCTGTTGAAAAGAGACTGACTAAATCCTATAGAGGGCCTGGGTATTATGGGGGTGGGGGTGGGGGGGAGGAGATAAGAAAAAGTGTCTCCGTGATCCCTAAAACCACCAAATCGCTGGAGAATTGGGGCTGGATAGAGTTGTCTCTTGTTGTTGTCAGCCCACGTCGTCACGATTTTATTCACCGCCGCATGGCGTTGATCAGATGGAAACCATATTTGTCTCCCTCTGAGACCTAACCTCGCCTTATGCTTTCGGAGTAATGGACTCTTTAAAACCCCAAAACGGCTTCCTGGGCCGGGAGAGGGGGCGAAGGAGGGAGCGGGGCCTTCTTAGCACCGACAGGTCTGAGGATTCCCGGGGCGCGTCGGCCGAAGCCCGCCACCAGCTCCCCGCGCCCCCCACGCCCGGGACCCCGCCCGGGTGGCCCGGCGCGTCCTGCCCCCGCCGCGGGGGCGGCGGTCGGCGCCCGCGGTCGCCGCATCCGAGTGGGTTTCTTAAGGGGGCGGAGGGGCAATTGGCAGTTGGTGAGTCCGAATTCTCCAGCTACTGGGCGCCTAAAAGTTAAAAGCTCCTGAATTAGCGCCACCTCCCGCCGCAACCATCACCACGGGGTCCTTGCGTGAGGCTCTCGCTTCCCGCCCTCCAGCTTCCCAGGACGGAAAGCTGCCCTAATCGGGCGCCACCTCTGGTGGAAACAGAGGGGCTGGCAAAACTGCTGCCCTGGGCTTGTGTCCGGGCTCTGGGAAGCAGGAGGGTGGACGTCCTCTAGGCCCCAAGCTAACGTGAGCCCTGGCACCGAGGGGGTGGAGGCTCTGGGCTCAGCCCTCCCAGACCCGGCCACCGCGCCCCGCGCCCTCCCCAAGAGTTCTCGGACCCTGGCGGCCAGCCTCGGCGGGGGAGGGATCACAAGGACCTCCGGTTTGCTGGGGGTTGGGGGGCGGGCGCTGGGGAGTGCCAAGTTCGGGTGTCTCTTGGGTGTGTCCAGGGTGCGCACGTGGGACTCCAATAGTTTCAGAGGTCAGGTGAGGGTGTGGTGGTCCACACTCAGCCCTGTCACTCCCTGTCATCCCAGGCGGCAGTGGGCCTGGGCCTGCGGCCGGAGCGGAGGCAGCGCCTCCTCGGGTGTGCCCGCCGCACCCCGGGAGGCCGCGGGGTCGGGGCCGGATCCGACGAGAGGGCCCGCGGGGTCGCCCCGGGGAGGCCGGGCCCAGCGCATCAGGAGGCCTCCGCCGGCCCAGCGGCCGCGCTGGGAAACACTGAGCGAGCGCTTTGCTCCCTATCTTCCCAGTGTCCGTCCTATATTGTTTTCTGCTCTTAAAACTGACATGTCTAATTGGCAATTGGTGCCGAATCGTGTCCAGAGGTCTCTTGTGGAACATTTCTACAGCTGTCTCCTTCAACTAGACGCTTATTCATGTCGCCTTAATGAGAAACAAAACGTTCTCTAATGAGCAATTACAGAGCGACAGGATTGTTCCCATAACAAATTCTTGCGAGTGACAGAAGCATCCTTTGTACCAGATATTTCGCATACTGTTACCGATTTTCCCTTCTCTAGCCCGGCTCCGTGGAGGCGCGGGGCACCCGGAGCGGGTCCGGGAGCGCACTGACGCGCGGGCAGCCCCGTCGGCGTCCCCGCGCCGCCGCCCCCGGCCCGGAGCCCCCAGGCTTCCTCGTGCTCCGGGGAGTGAGACGCCACGTCCCATTATCCCGCATATTATCTCCTTGTCACAAGGACAACAAATACCGATTAATCTTCGGAGTAAACTGTTTCCTATTCTTGACCAAGCTACCTCGGGGTGTGTAGGGGAGGGGAAAGCCAACCGGCCCCACCCCACCCCCATCTGCTCCTCTTCCTCCATTCCTTCTCACAGATCCTGCGACGGTCCAGATTCCTTCTCTCCTCCCAGCCCCCTCCTCCACCCCACCCCCCCGCCCCAGCCAGCGGCTCCAGACACCCCGCAGGCCGGTTCACAGTATCCTCACCCCACCCTTCTGTGCAGTCGCCACCCACAGAGGGTGAGAACTGGGGGCCCAGGGAAGCGGAGGGAATCCGAGATGATGGGGTTGTTTGAGTTGGGAGCCCACCACTTCCAGTGCCCTATCCTGTGCTCCGCCCTGCATCTCGCTGCTCGCCCTTTCATATGCACCCTACTCATAGTCACATAATTTGTCAATTACGGCAAAAAGCAAAACGATACAATTATGTTTACCTCGCAGTCTGTCAGTGTGTTAACTTGTCACACTTCTACAGCAAGGGGGCTCTCCGTGCATTTTAATGGCAAATTTGAATAGGGCACCACACAGCTAACTCTTACACACGCACATATTCCTGCCCATAACCTACGCGCGCACACGCACCAGCCACATTCTTACTACTCCTGACATCCACCACCCTCAAATTCGAAGGCCAATGAGATAGTTCAACAAATACTACCCTCATACAGGGCAAGTCAGTGTGTCCCAAGCCTTTAAAGAGTCTCTCCACTACGTTCTTCCAGCACAGAAGTGAGGAGAGGGGAGAAGTTGGGGGAGAAGTTGGGCAAGTGGCTCCCTATCTGGAGACTTTTGAGGGTGAGTGCTCGGGTTTTTACCTTGCGTAGGTTGCCCTGGCACAGAAGTCCCCGGATACCAACCCGGGCGGGTGCCCCAGCTTCCGGTCTGCCCGTTCAACATCCTTAGTTTATCATACATGCCGTCTGCGCCCATCTGTTGCTTTTCGCTAGCCAGGTTGCGAAGAACTCTGTTTATTGATGACACCTGCAAATCAAACCAAAATCAAACCAAATGGTAGCGTCTCCCGAAGACAGCTGCCCTATCTTCAGTCCCCAATTCAGCATACCCACTCTCTTAAAGAACGACCCTTAACACGTTAAAACACACACACACACACACACATACACACACAATCAAACAAACTCCCAGCCATCCTGGGACAGTGGGTGGATTTGCAGAGACATTTTGGACAGAATGACAGCCATCACTTTGGGCGTGGAAACTGGGTTGGGCAGAGAATGCGGGATGGAGAGGGCATTTCTTCCTTCACTGCTGCTGGATGTCTGCGGTGACCTAATCTTTGTTAAAAGACTTCCACAAAAAAGACTATGACTTGGTTTAGAGCTCTCTTTCACTTTGTTTCATATTAGGGCAGAAGTGGACGTTTGACACCTGAAGGAAGGTTCAGGCAGTCTGAATTGGAGGAGGTTAGAATTTGGTTTTCATTTTCATTTTCCTTCTTGATCCAAGGGCCTTTGCCTGAGTGCCTCCACCCTCTACTTTGCAGCATGCAAATAAGGTGAACAGCTCCCCACACTTGACTCCCATTTTCCAGAAGATCAAAAAAAAAAAGGTCAGTGTCCTCCTCTCAACACCCCCAGATACAGAGGTGACATAGGTGGAGCAGGGAGGGGACAGAGACAGAATGACACTGGCAGGGAGGAGGTGGGTAGGCAGGTGAAGAGAGAGATGGTAGAGAGGAAAGAGCATGGGGCTTAGGGCAGGGAGGGGGAATGTGATCGGTGAACTTACACTTGGTATGTTATCGTTGGTACAGACCCCCTCGGACAGTAATCTGTCTCGGATTTCCCAAGCAAAGATGGACGGGCACTCCCGCTTATACTGGGCTATTTTGCTTACAACTTCTGGAGTCGCTACTCTCGGTTTACTACCACCGATTGCCCTGGGTCTGATGGAGCCAGTCTCGTAATACCTGCCCAGAATTTTACTCACACATCCGTTGGACACCTGCATAGGGGAAGTGGACAGAAAACCACATTATTAATAATTTCAAGACAAAAATAAAATTGTTTAAGTATGCATTAAACAATGACAAGCTTACGTTTTGATTGTCCAGCACTTGGACTTTTGCATCTGCATGGGTCTATAACACAAAAATATACCTTCAATGGTATGAGAACTTACTGTAGAGAGCTTTTTTTTCTTAAAATTACATTTGTAGCCCTAAAAACTACAAATATGATGATACTTTCAAACAGTTTGAACTAAAAAAAAAAACTAATTTAAAAGTTTTTTTAAAAAAACTGTTTTCTTAAACATTTGCCTGAAGATGCATCAAAACGAAGTCAGATTAATTTTTTTGTGCTGACCTTGCTTAAAGTGTTGTTATATTTTAATGAGCAAAAGAGGAAAATAAACTAAAATTGTACTTATTTTCCTTAAAAAAAAAATGCCCAGTTGAGTAAATGTGAGTTAGGTAGGGAGGTAAATAGCATTTGCCTTTTAAAATCAATATATATTCTTCATGAATATGAAGAATGCAAACAAATATCTCAAAATCTGAGGTGAGCATGGGATGAGGGAAAAGAGAATGAAATTATGCTGGTTTATACAACTCAGCTTATATAGTTCATAAACTGTTACCACAATTAATGTTTTTACCAAATGAAAAGAGAAAGGTGCTTGGTTTTTTTTTTTTTTTTAATTCACACACATTTTTTTTTTTCCTTAAGCAGATGAGTTATCTCATGTGACTGACCCAGGTTGAAAGAGATAGGGAAGGATGTTGGAAGGAAAGGGGAAAGCGGGGATGGCAGGGGAGTGGGGTAGGGACTGGGGTGGGGTGGGTGAGGGGGTCCATAATTAGCAGCGTTTACAGTAAGAAATGAAGAGAGGGCGTTGAGAGTGGAGGGCCGCAGGGGCGGCGAGTGGGGCGGCGCCGGGAGGATCACCTGCAGAATTCGGGAAATGTCGCACGGCCGGGCCCCGCTGTGAGCTAGCTCTACGATCTTCTGCCGGGTGGAGTCCGGCAGTGGCCGCCCGTTGACAAAGACACCACCGAGCTGATTCACTCCGCTGTGACCTGAGGAAAAGGGAGAGGAGAGGAGAGGAGAGCAGAGCAGAGCAAGGAGGAGAGGAGAGGAAGAGGAGTAAAGAGAAAGAGGAGGAGGCAGAGGAAGGAGAAGACGAGGAAGAGGAAGAGAAGACAACCACAATGCATCCTCAGCTCCCTGCCAGAGCATGCCAAGCTCAGCAATCGGGTCCCTGCTATCGATCAAAAACGACAATGGGACCACGCAACCACGCAGGGCAGCAGGCAGCCCAGCCCAGCACAGCCGTGCTCCTGCCCCCCGACTGCAGGAGCACCATGCAGACACCTGCCAGTGAGCAAGAACACACGCACCTCACTCCCGCTCTCACTCCTGCCGTGCCCCAGCCCACTTGCCCCTCTTCATAAACATCCCAGCCAGCCTCTGAACCCACAAGGTGCAAACAGTCTTCCAAAAAATATCCTCCCAAAGATCCCCTCTGAATGTCACGGCAGAACGTGCGTCCTACGGAACCCACACTCAATCTCCAAAGTCTCTGCATTGTTGGAACTGTGATAGCAAATCCTACAGCTCTTCAGCATTCCCTTGGACTCCAGACCAGAAACATTTGCTGTCACAATCCAAACTTTGGCGAAGGCACAATCACCAGAGTTGAAAAAAAATTACGTGTATATCTATTACGTTACGTTACATTACATATATATATACATATATATATGAAGAGATGGGAAGGGAGTAGAGAAGAACCAGAGCAGCAAATCTGTGGCTGGTGAACCCCAACCTGCGCATCCAGTCCAGAGCCCCAGATCGGCTCCAAACACAAAGTAGTTCGGCTTGCGGCAGAGGGGCCGAGAGCCTGGAGTCCATTCACCCAGCTTGCTTTACTTCCACTGCTAACCTCGGCCTTCCACACAGCCAAGCACAGATATTAGCAAAAAGTGACAGGAAAAAGAAAGGAGCACACCACAGTGTCTTCTAGCCCTCCTTTATCTTGCTATTCTCACCACCTCACCCCCATTGTCTAATCTCAGAGAATAGAGAAAGGGAGTTAGCACCTCTCAGTAGCCTCCTCCCCAGTAACCACAGGCACACAAATAAAGCCAATTGCCAATTTCCACTTCCTTAAAAATCTCCAACCTGCAGCCCAGACTCTAGAGAGCAGCCCTTCCAGGAGAAGACGTGGCTCCCTGCTCAGCTCCCTGCTCTCTCCTCTCCTCTTCTCTCTTCTCCTTGGAACCTCTGATAAATTGACTCCAGGAGCCTGAGCTTCTTAGCAATAAATAAGCTCCAAATATAGAAGAGGGGGGAAAATATGATGAGCCTCTCTGACATTTGTCTTTAAAATAAAACTAGCTGCACGTCAAGTTTGAGCTTAATTTCTGGAAATAGGCGGAAGTCGCTCCGGATCATGCATGGAAGGCTAATTGAAAAGATCAGTCGGGGCGCTTGTGGCAGCCTTGTCACTTTGTGACAGTGCTCCGCTCCGGGAAATTGCATCGTCACGACAAACGGGACCGTGATAAAACGACCCTTTCCGTCCCTATTTGTAGATCACTCAGACGAGATTGAACCGCACTCGTTTCCCCTTCGAGGGGAGCCGCGTTTTCAGGGTAGCCAAAGGCTTGGGGCGGAGGGGGGGCCCTCACCGACGGGGGCGGGGGCAGAGCCTCAACTCGATGAGAAGTGACAGGCGTTTGGGGGATCTGGGCTCCGGCCGGGCCCAGCGCGAGCGCGGACATCTCGGGGACACCGCTTCTCCAACAGAGCTAGGCCTAGTCCCCGCTTCCGGTTTCTCCTAAGTTCCCTTTATCGCCTTCCTTTGCCTCCCAAGACCAATCTACTGCTCCAGCTGCGGAGCCTTCCCTTTGGGCAAAGGGAGCCTTCCCGGGAAGCGAAAGGCTGTCCCAGAGAGAGACCGAGGAAGACTTTCCAAACTTCACGCGCAGCCTGGGCAATTCCCAGTCTGTGCCTGCCAAGGTGTGTGAGGCCGCCTAATCCGAGACTTCCCTCCTTCTCCCCCCATTGCAAAAACTAACGGGCCGGCCACCTCCGCAGCGACCGCCGGCCGGTGCTCGGTGCTCGCCCAGGGGACGCCAGGGCCAGGTTGCCTCTGCCAGCGTCGAAAAGGCAGCGAGGAAGCGCCGCTCTCAGTTCCCCTTCAGAGGTTAAGCCTCAATCATTGTGTCCCTTCCCTGGGGACGGCTGGAGCTCTCGCCCAGTGGCGATGATTATGCGCCTAGAATTCGACCGCGAAGCATCTAATAGGAAAACATATGGTGTCAATTTGGATGCTCTGCGCCTCGCGCACACCCGGGAGCGAGCGGCACAAAGCCCTGCAGGCCGGCCCGCGACCCCGCGCCCCTCGGGGCCTGCAAACGCTCAGAGCCGCGCGCCCCGGCCGGAACCGGCCCGAGAGCCTACGGCTGGGGAGGCTGAGCTGCAGGGCGAGAACCCAGCAGCCAGGAGAGGTGGGCAGAAGCCCTTGCCTCGCCAAGGAGGGTCCCTCCCGGGCCTGGCAGGTTCCGCACAACTAACTCGCCCTAAAGCTCGCCACCTTTGAGTCCCCTCGTGCGCTTCGCGCCCACCAGCCGCGGAAGCACCTGGGGTGGCTAGCGCTTCCAGGACACATGGATCGGGCATTGGAGACCCTCCGAAGTCTGCAGTTCGCCAAGGGAAGGTTGCTAGAAGACAGGCCTTTCCGCACTCCTACCACAGCTGAACCCTTAAATCGCGTCCAGACTCTGCACCTCACAACCCAGGCCTAGTTTCACTGGGTCTCCAGGCTCCCAGGCCCGGGCTCCAGACTAGCCCTGCCACATACCAGCACCCACGGACTGAGCAGGAAGGTGGGCTGGGGCCCAAGGGGCCTGGGTAGAGAGAGGATGGGAGGCACAGGAACGAGGAATCAAAGGCACTGCGGGCCTGGAATGATCAGAACCCGCATAGCCCACCAGGGCAGGGCTTCTCCAGCTCCAAGGCTCGATACCCACTCTCTTCCCAGACCCAGTAAACCTGCTCTGGCCAGTACAGCCCCAGGGTCCCAGTTTACCACCTCCCCCCGACCCTCCCCCCTCCCACCGCAGGCCAGGGTGCCCCGCTCCCTTTGCCTTCTAGGCCCAAAGCTGGGGTGGGGGAGGGGAGGAGCTGTCCTGAGAGTGACTGGGGGAGGGGAGCCCCCCACCCCACCCCGCCCGGATGGCGGAGACATTCAGTCTTGGCTAAACCCAAAGGGGCCTCCTTCTCCTCGCGCAACTAGGAGAAGCCTCCGCCCCGCCCTGTTCAGCCCAGCCTCTCTCTCTGGGGTCAGAGCCCGGGCAGGGGCGGGGAGGGGGGTGTGAGTTACAGGATTTGGGGGGGGGGGGGATGGGGTTTCTCTACCTCAGCTTCGCAAACTCTAGCGGGCTGTCCTGAAGGGCCCAGCCCCTGTTCTTCCAGGAGCGAGAACAGCAGAGCAAACGTCCTCCCCTCTCGGGTTGCCGAGCGCGAAGGGGGGCGCAGCTGCCTCAGGTCCCCGGGCCTCTTCCCTCGCGCCAGACGGCCTGGCCAGCGTGGACACCGCGAACCTCTGCGCCCGCCCTCCCCTGACCCGCCGGTCCGCTCGTCCCCAGCCCGAAGTCTGAGAAAGACCAGAGGCACTTACTGTTCTGCATGCTGGCGCTGGCTGGGGGCCACGGGATCCCACGGGGTTCGAATAGGGGGCTCTGTTAGCAAGAACATAGGCGTTAATCCTGGGCCCACGCCAGGTAGGCCTACCTCCCAACAGAGGATGACCTGGAGCCAGGACAGCAGAATGCCCCTTCTTGAGGAAATGATCCACTCAATCGCTTGGGGCCATCTGAGGGGCATCCACCTCTGCCCTCCAGTGCATGCAAAATCTACCCTTTGGGTTACAAATAAAATACTCCAATATTCCCAAACTGTTTTCCCCAAACCCCCTAGTAGTTCACTCTTGAATCAGAAGAAATGACCCAATTTCGATTTTTTTTTTCTTCTTCTTCTTCCATGTGAACAACAATGAAGAAGTATTTCTGACTCTTTCAGGTTTTGGAACCCAAAGCAGCCACCGCAGAACTTGCCTGAAATCTGGGATGTCTGTCCGCTCTTACAATAAAAGGTCTCACACATCTGCGCACCCCTAGTTAAAGTCTTCCCCCTAAGACAAAACAAAAGGAAAGAAAGGTATGTCAAACTGTAGCTCAAAAGCATAGGCCCATGGGCTCTCAGAGCCACACTCTCCGAAAAACACAACAAAACAAAACATGCATCTAGGGCTCAAACTACCCTAAAACCCTAAATCCCAGAGTCACAACCACATTTCCAGCTGCCTCTCTTGCAGACGTCCCCACCTTTTAAAAGTGGCTGCTCTGGCCTGGCTTGGGAGAACTGGAGAATCTGACAAGTCAGGGAACCATTTTGCAAAAATATCAAGAATCAGTTAAAAGGAAAGGGGAGAACAAGAGACACAGTGGCGTTAGGAACAGACGCCAAAGACTAATACCTGAGGTTTAGAGGGGAGGGGAGGAGGATCTCTAAACTTCAGGGTGCCTGAGGTGCAGGCTGGGGCAGATCAGAAGGACTGCAGAGCCCATACTCCTTCCTTAAGGAGTTTCACCACCGGAGTTCCCCCAAGGCCCCCAGCACCCAACTCTCTGGCTACCCCTTCATCTTCCACTCTCGCCCTCAAAGCTTCCCAGCCAGGCCCCCACTCCACCCACCTCCCAGTCTTTCTGGGACTTTGAAAGTAGCGAGCCCAACTTTTCCCCCCCAAACCTCACTTATTGTGATTAACTTCTCTTTTGGTGTTTAGATCTTCCCCCCTTTTACTGTACTGTGACACACGCTGTCTACCTCGCCTCACTGCTTTAAAAAGTACGAACAGGAGGGGGTGAGCGTGGTCGACAAAGCCTACAGACAGCGAACAATGGCTTCTATTCTCCAGCTCTCCCCAAACCCAAAGAGCAAAAACGAGTCTCCCTAACCAGCAACACAGCTTCCAACCAAATGTACCAACAACCCACCAACTCACAAAGGGAACAGAGGGACACTTCTAGCTTTGTAAGTCCTGACCCAGCGCGGGTCCCCCAAGGTTCGCCCTCCACCACCCCCTCCCTGCCTTGCCCTAAAAAGAAGGGGGGGGGGAGAAAATAGAAAAGTAATTTCTTGTTATAAATATCTGGAGGTAATTGTGTTAC